GGAGGAGAGGAGGGGAGGAATGGAGGGGGGAAGGAAGGAGGGGAAAAGGAAAGTGAAGTTTCTTGGAGCTGTGGGATAGTTCAGTGATGAAGAGTACTTGCCTTCTTACAGACCTGAGTTGCGTTCCCAGCACCCACATGGCAGCTTACCATCCCCCTCCCACTAGCTCCAGGGGATCTAACACTTTCATCTGGCCTCAGGCACCCACCCCACGCCCTGCCACCCTATTCCAAATAAACACAAACTAAACAAATAGACAATTTACAAGAACATGGTTAAAGTTATAATATGCTTAGCTTTTAGCTTCCTCTATGTGTGATGTGTCTGATATATTTTTACAGGATGGCTAACACATAATATAATCTATACTCGGCCATTGTAAGACAATAAAGATGTTATCAGCAATCCAAGAGACAGGGATATGGCTCAGAGGTAGAACACCTGTCTTACAGGAACAAAGTTGAGTTTAACACTCAACACTACTAAAAGTGTTTTGTTTGTTTGTTTGACAGGATCTCACTGTATAGCTCTGGCTGGCCCAGAACTCAACATGCCTCAAATTCTCAGAAATTCCTGCCTGCCTCAGCAACCAGAGTGCTGGGGTTACTGTGTACACCAATATGCCCAGGGAACCCCCCCCAAAAAAAATCCTTAAAAGCAACCAAAAATGTAATAAAGTTAGGAAATGCTACTACTCTAATACATGACTTTTGCAGGAACTTTGTTTAAATGAATATAGGGTTTCAGCACATTTCTCTTTTGTCGTTTTGTGGTCCTGGGAAGTCTAACGCCATGCCTTGCACATGCTGAGCAAGTACTCTAAGACTGAGCTATGCCCTAACCCTTGGTGTTTTTGAGACAGGGCCCAGCTGTAGAAGAATGTTAACTCAGAACATGGCTGCTCTGGCAAGAGGTCACATCCAAAGACCTCCTAGGTCTGTGTGATCTGGCTGGAATACAGACACACCTTTAATCCAGGAGACAGAGGCAAGAGATCTGAGCTCAAGGGCAGCCTGGTATAGAGCAAGTTTCAGGTAAAGAAAAGCTTAAGTCCAAGTGTGGTAGTACCTACCTTTAATCCCAAACAATGAAGGTAAAGTTGGTTTGTAGAAGGAAGCACTCATGTTTGAAAGTGATGCCTAATTGAGTGGGAGAAAAAGTGATGAATTATAGAAAGACTTGACAGAATGGGCTACGTCCAACTTTCACAAGGAGAGGAAAGGGAAGCTACTTAATGCAGAGAGAGAGGAGGCCGTTTTTACCAGGACAGTGATAGAGAGACGGGTTTTAGAGAGAACTCAGGAGAAGACTGAATGAGCAAGAGAATGAGAAGGAGCCAGGAAATTAGATTGCTTGAATTAGTTTGCGGCCAGAGGAATTCAGAGGCTGAGAGAAAAGCCAGATTGAATAAGTCAGCTGGGAGAGAAGCTTGAGCCAGAACAGCTGAGTCAAACCAGCCAGGCCAGAGCTCAGTAAGAACTAGAAAGGGTGAGCTTAGTCAGCAGAAAACATTGCAGGTCTAGGTTAAATTATATGGAGGCCAGAAGCTTCCAGGACTAGGCCTGCATTAGCAGACAGAGGCAGTGAGCCCCAGGGACAACAACTGAAACAGAGAATAAAAGCTCCTGTTACACCCAGCTGTAACTCAGAAAGCCTGCCCTGTGGCAATGGATTTCCCCAGGTAGGCCACCACTTCTTACAGGTTCCACAGCCTACAACAGGATGACCAGATGTAAGTTAACTCCAAACACAAGAGCATGTGGAAGACATTCCACATTCCAGCCATCATACTGTTGTTGTTTCTGATGTTTTGGTTGATTGTGTAAGAGTTTCTCTGTATAAGAGAGCCCTGGATGTCCTGAACTCACACTGTAGACCAGGCTGGCCTCGAATTCACAGAGATCTGCCTGCCTCTGCCTCCCACAGTGCTGGGATCAAAGGTGCAGGCCATGGGCTGAAAAGATGGCCCATGCTCGGTTAAGAGCACTGTCTGTTCCATCGGAAGTCCTGAGTTCAATTCCCAGCAACCACATGGTGGCTCACAACCATCTACACCCTCTAGCACCCTCTTCTGGTATGCGTGTGTAAATGCAAATAGCACATGTACAAAAAAAATAAATAAAACCTTAAAAAAAAATAAAGGCGTGGGCCACCCCACCGCACCCAGCTCTAATGTATTTTTAATTTATGTGTGTTCGTGTGTGACTATGTAAAAGGGCAGAGGCAAGAAGAGGGCGTCATAACCTCTGGAGCTGCAGCTACAGGAGACTGAGCCACGAGGTGTGGTACTGAGAACCACACTCTGGAGGATCACTCAAAGCACACTGAACCAAAGTGACTTCTCCCCAGAACCCTTCACAGCACTGTCACACCTTACTTTTGTTTGGCACTCTCTCTACCTCCCTGTCCTCATCTCTCCTTCTCCCAATATTCCCTCTTCCACTATTTTTTTAAGATTTATTTTTATTTTTAATCATGTAGGTCAGTGTGGATGTGTACATGTAAACGCTGGTATCCGTGGAGACCAAATGTATCAGGTTCCCCGGAGCTGCAGTTACAGGTAGCTGTGAGCCGTCCACTGTGGGTGCTGGGCATTGAACTTGTGTGCCTTGGAAGAACATCAAGTGCTCTTCTTAGCTACTCTCTATTCCCTCATGTCACTTTCGTTTTCCAGACAGGGTCTTTCTATGCAGTTCTTACTATCCTGGGACTCCATACGTGGACCAGGCTGGCCTTGAACTCACAGAGATCCTCCTGCCTCTGCCTCCCGATGCTGATGGGCTAGGATTAAAGGCATGCCCCACTGTGCCCATTTTTGTTTGTTTGTTTGTTTTCAAGACAGGTTTTTCTGTATAAGCCTTGGGTGTTCTGGAACTCCCCAGGCTGGCCTTGAACTCAGAGATCCACTTTCCTCTTCCCCCCTCAGTGCTGGGATTACACCACTGTAATGACGGTACCTAGACAATATTGCCCAGTTCTTAGCAGCCACCCAAAAACATCTCTGCGTCAATATTTTATACTCTGAAAATGAGACAGACTCTAATCACTAACAGCTGAAATATAAAAAGATGGCTATTGAGATGTATTCTGTGAAACTGCTGCATAACAGAGATGGGTGTGACCCAAGAGTTTTATTGTTTTTATTTTTATTTTTTTATTTTTTTTTTTGTCTTCTGAGGAGTAGGCAGGATGATCAGGGTTTCCCAGACTTTCTTGGAAGGCAAGTTGATTACACTCGTGCTTCCTTCTAACTGTGCTAGCCCTCCACCACAGAACTCTCATCATTTAATTCCTCAGATCTCCACTTGAAATAAGGATCCTTTCCAAAGCCACCACTATCACATTTCATGATGCTACCCCTTTCTTAGCACATGTTTAAGCATGCTAAAACCCTTCACAGTTAAAGCTACTGCACATGCATACAGATATAAAAAGGTAGGGACCACACCTGTTTTACCATCTGTGGTAGTGCCAATGCAAACACAGTCAAATGGCACTGCAAAACATTGTTAGCTGAATGAAAGGTCAGGGCTGTGTCTTAAGTCTGATGTGTCAGCATTACAAGAGTTCTTCT